GCAGGTTGAGCCGAGCGAAGCAGTCGGGAAAGTGGAAGGAACAACGAACGCGTCCCCACAAACTCCTACGGTGTAGTGGACATCTGGGGCTTGGCCTCTAAGCTTAATTGGGTCTTTTTCCCGTTGCGTCTGTTGAGCTGGCACAGCTATGGGCAGCCAGCTCACGAAACTACAGGCCGTGCCCGATTTTCCCCAGCAGTAACGCATTAAGAGCCAGCACACAGGAGAAAGCTGTTTTTCTTTTAAATGTTTTTCTGCTGGAAAATCTTTGTCACCTATGGAAACCCTGTGAGACAAGGGGTTTTCCTTCCAAAACCAGCACAGCTGAAGGAAGTCAAGAGAGAAGATACCTCGAGGCACTGCAGTACACCTGAGCTCTAAAAAGGTCTCCGAGCAAAAACAGAACCCTTTGTGATTAAAACAAAAGATGCCCTTAACATTTAGCATACAAAATGCTTTGCTTCATTAGCACCATGTAGCTGTGCTGTGGTCAGCAAAGAGCTACAAGCTGCGGTCTCTGCTCACAAGTATCACGCTCAGAGCTGTTTGTACCGCAAGGACTAACAACCACCTTGAAGTGCCTCAAATAGGACAAAGAATCCAAATATCACCCCCTTTTTTTTAACAAAAGGTAAAGGCTAACTGGGCTTACTAGACCACAGCAGGAACCAAAGGGCAAGGGCGCGCCACAGCACATGCAAAGACGAGGGATCTACACAATTTTAACCAGACTGTAATTTTGCTGGGTTTTATAGTCAGACCAGCACTCCGCTCTCACGACATTGATTCACTCACCCTTGAACTGTATCACAGGCACCCACACTTCAGGAGCTCCACTACAGAATGCAATACGCAAAATTTGTTAAAGGCCTTGCTGTCAAATGTTTAATTACTAGGTAAATTCAAATGACTCAGAGGCCAGAAAAAACATACGGTAAGAAGCTTTATTAATTGCATTTGGTCAGGTTTGTTACATTAATTCAAAGCACAGAGAGCGTCATCCATTTTACATGACAGCACTGCATCAACACCATCCATAAAGGCTCCCACCAGTCTGTCTACCAGCAATTTTCCCTTTGAAGTCTCATGAAATGACAATAGTGACCTGAAACTGAATTGCCTCCGGCCAGCTCCAGCAGACTGGAAACAGGTGAGCTTGGTGACAGCACATTAATACTTACCTGTAACCAGTCAAGCTTTCTCTAATTTAGCATGCATTTTGATTATTCAAACTTGTTTCTTACAGGTTGCAAAACACTAAATTACCTTTCTCCACTTCCAATCAATAATTTATTAGCAGGACCACTCAAGTCAAATCCTGCATTTTCCTCCCTAGAATCCCACCCTTCCCTTCTGGATGTGATCAGCAACACTGCTTTAACTCCTACTGAAGTTAATTATCAGCTCAAGTCTTGATCTTTAGCTGCTAGTATATCCCCTTCAAACAGCAAATAACATTATGTTGTCAAGAATATTCTTATTTTTGTTCTGTAGTTTCCATAGTCTCCCTGATTCCAAGTGCAGCAGCTTGGTTAACTATTTACTGAGCTTACTTCAGAAGACAAACCATTTATTTGGTGATCTCCATTCTACTGCCCAATAGTTTTGTGAAGACTTCCCTTTTGTCTGTTCTCTTACTGTATGGGAACTGTTCTTTAACACTTCTGTTTTAGCTAATCAACACTGTCATGTTTCCACATAGCACAAAGCTGGAACAGAAGTGCATTCCAAAAGATATTTTTAAACAAGCTGGTACATCTTAGGTTACAAAGTCTGCTAACATGCTTAAGCTGTGCAAAGAATAAAGGCTACCCGGTAACTGAATGATTGGAAAACTCACACTAGCCGACAGATTTAAGAAGGCAGCACTTCAAACACTCAGTTGGACCTGCAGTATCAGTAGTGACATTTCTACCACTGCACAGCATACAGTGAGTTGGTTAGGTCAGTGTAGGATTGCAAAGCCAGGGTGGCCTTGGGGGGTCCCAACAAAGCTATCCTTTACCGAAACTTCCGAGTGCTTCGCAAGCTAACTTCTCACATTAATGAAACACTCCGGGCAGGACCTGGCAATTACTGAGCCAAGTATTACCAAAGTCTCCCAGACCATAAAGGATTCCGATTTGCAGGATAAACAGGTCTGTTTGAAGTCTAGCCTGCCAAGCTAAGACCCACAGTACTCAGTTCTTTTCATATTACTTACTGCAATGCACACATTCATACATGCAAGCATGTGTATTGTTTATTCTACTTCCTTTGCTATTACAGATTTAACCAGAAGACCTGGAAAAGATTCCAGCTGGCTGATCCAAGTTGGTCACATGAGGAGGCTTCTTACCTTCAATCCGTGGTCACTGTTCAAATATTAAATTACACCTGCATGTAACTGCACAACAGTAGTTTAAGAGCTGCAAATCAGAATTGTACTGTTAGCGAGTTAAGACCACCACTACAATCTCAGGAGAACCATGTCCAATGGGCTAGTCATTCTTTTCAGGTATGACTAAACCTTACACAGGGCAGCTTTTAACTACATCTTTATAATACTTTCAAGCAAGATAATTACATTTTATTAACCAAGTCTAACCAAAATATTTGCTTATATAATTTAAGAGACACAAACTTTTGTGGATGCAACAGCTTTATTGGAATGAACAAGTGCAGTGAAACTTTCACATGGATGCAAGCACTGAATAGCTACTTCAGTTACCACCCCTCAGGCGCAGCACAAGGTGCAGAGTGGACTCCTTCTGGATGTTGTAGTCGGACAGGGTGCGCCCATCTTCCAGCTGCTTGCCAGCAAAGATCAGCCTCTGCTGGTCAGGAGGAATGCCTTCCTTGTCCTGGATCTTGGCCTTCACGTTCTCAATGGTGTCACTGGGCTCAACCTCCAGGGTGATGGTCTTGCCAGTCAGGGTCTTCACAAAGATCTGCATGCCACCCCTCAGGCGCAGCACCAAGTGCAGAGTGGACTCCTTCTGGATGTTGTAGTCGGACAGGGTGCGCCCATCTTCCAGCTGCTTGCCAGCAAAGATCAGCCTCTGCTGGTCAGGAGGAATGCCTTCCTTGTCCTGGATCTTGGCCTTCACGTTCTCAATGGTGTCACTGGGCTCAACCTCCAGGGTGATGGTCTTGCCAGTCAGGGTCTTCACAAAGATCTGCATGCCACCCCTCAGGCGCAGCACAAGGTGCAGAGTGGACTCCTTCTGGATGTTGTAGTCGGACAAGGTGCGCCCATCTTCCAGCTGCTTGCCAGCAAAGATCAGCCTCTGCTGGTCAGGAGGAATGCCTTCCTTGTCCTGGATCTTGGCCTTCACGTTCTCAATGGTGTCACTGGGCTCAACCTCCAGGGTGATGGTCTTGCCAGTCAGGGTCTTCACAAAGATCTGCATGCCACCTCTCAAGGGCAGAACATTGTGCAGAGTGGACTCCTTCTGGATGTTGTAGTCGGACAGGGTGCGCCCATCTTCCAGCTGCTTGCCAGCAAAGATCAGCCTCTGCTGGTCAGGAGGAATGCCTTCCTTGTCCTGGATCTTGGCCTTCACGTTCTCAATGGTGTCACTGGGCTCAACCTCCAGGGTGATGGTCTTCCCTGTCAAGGTCTTCACAAAGATCTGCATTTTTGCTCTGTAAGAGAAAATATTAAGTGTTGCTTCACTCATTTACTTCCTTTCATCGTCCAAGGGAAGTCACAGCAGAGCCAGCTTCACCTGCTGCCCATGAGGCACCCTAGTTTCACAGGCCCAGCACCAGGAGCCCCCTCTCCATGGAGACTGCGCATCGCAAGGGCGGTGCTCCGTGGGAGTGGCCGGCCCAGCGCCCCGCCCCGTGACGTCAGAGTAAAAGGACCGCCCACATCACGAGGGGCGGGACCACCGGCCCCACTCCCCTTCCCGCCCAGGGCGCGCGCACCCACTCGCCACCATCTTGGCGGAGGTTGTTACGCCTGCGCG